TGGGGCTCGGGAACGGCCGGGGTAGATGGCGCTTGCGGAAGCTTTGGCCGGGCGCGCTGGGAGTGGCGGCACCTCGGCGGTGTCAGGTAATGTGCGGTAGCAGGAGCAGTTTCGGGGCTCTGGAAGGACGGGGTGGCAGCACCCCCACGGGAGCTTAGGAAAACATTTTGCTGCTTCGACTTTCTCCTAACGTGTCGCTCTATTTGAGAACCCTAATTTGTCTTTGTTAGGCTGTAGTCGTGTAAGAAGTGTATTGAGAAATTCGGGAGGCGGAGCGTTCTGTTGGGCAGAGATACCTGTAGTACTGAAAGTTCAGCCTCTCTCCCCAGGTGTTGGAGTTCTTGTTTAGCGAGTAGGCTCCTGGAAATGTGTTAACAGTGGAGTTGTCTTTTCTTGGAATTTTTAAAGCAGATAATTTCAAGAAGGGGACCTTTTGGGACTCCTTTTATGTATCATAACACAGCAAAAAGGGATGGAATTGCACTTCAAAATACTGCGTAGATCAGTAACAGTAAATTTCACATCTTTCTGTTTTTCTGTTGACGCATTTTCAAGTGAATTTGTTTGTTTGGTTTAATTTTCAGAACTGTCAGGCATATAAAGCTTTTTTTGGGCAAGCTGAAAAGGTTTTTATAGGAGTTAATTTGAGGTTTTTCAGCGTTCAATGAAAGATTTGGTATTTTGTCATGATGTTCTACTCACTTAAAATTAATAAGTGCTGTTTGTGATTTTTATGAAAAATAACTATATGCAGCATCACTCTTGCGTAGCGTTACAGAGTTGTAGCGGGCCTGTGTTACATAAAGTGGTAAACAGATGTTCTGATGAAAACATAGTATTACCCAAATAAGTATTTTGTACAGAGTACAAAGTGTACAAATTGCACAGGGTGAGACCAAAGGTCCGTATAACTCAGTATCTTGTCAGTGACAGTGTTCAACAGTAAATGCCCAAGAAAGAATACAAGCACAGATTAACTCTGCAGTGATGTTTGTCTCGCAGTACTCTTCTAGTCTTCAGGTAGTTGTGATTCAGGGTTACAAAGGGATGTTTTTGGATTTAGTGAAGAAATTATTCTCTAAATTTTTTTTTAGGATTCTTTTCTTTTTGAACACTGCAAGATTTTTATTCTATTTTATTCTTTTTATTAGCACCCGCAGCACTCGGTGGCAGTGGATTCCATGGCTTAATGTTGTGTGAACAAGGACCTTTATTTTGAACCCACCATATGATAGTTTATTTCACTCTTATTCTTGTTTTGGAGGACACAATGTTAGTCCCTCCCTGTTTACTTTGCCGTGCCACTCATGATTTGGTCATTCTTTATCCTGTCTCCCCTTGCCCTCCTCTTTTGGCTGCTCTTCTTCAGCATGAAGAATCCCATCCCAGGTCTAGTTGTATATGTTAGCTAAATTAACGCCTATGAGAATGTAACTGCGGATGGGTGTTGTCACCAGTGGGAATTCTTCTTGTAGAATCCTGGGTTTGGCCTGACGCTGTTAGATGTCGTTACCAATACTCGTGCACTTGTTTATAGCAAATCCTGGGAGAGTTGCAGTGAATTTAATGTGTGATACGTACATAAGTTGAGAAGCTGAATGTAAATACTGTGGTAAAATATAAAATTGAAAGCTGTTATGTATAAACTATCACTCACAAATATGACTATCTTTAGCACTATAGCTCCAAAAGTAATAACTTGAAAATAAAGTTAATGTGCCTTGTTAGTAAAGCAGTCGAGTATGAACTTCCAGTGCTCTGATGTTGCTAAAGGATTGTGCTTTATTCTTGAATGTACAAGTGGGGGAAGATCACGTGCAGGAGGGGAAGTGACTTGATTCTTACGTGTGATCCACCTCTGGTATAACATGCTCAGTTCTGAGGTTGGGGTGAACGGTTCGAAGAGTCTGGAAGAGTTAGATTTCATTATACTGAAACACCACAATTCCTGCAGCAGTGCCTGTAAGAGAAGGGCAAGGTTGCTTGTTTGCTTTCAAAAATTTTTTTTTAATCATACAGGTTTATCTTTGTTTTTTGGGCTGTTTGACTTTAATCTAGAGGCTTGATCTTTTTTCAGCTTCAGAAAGGAGAAGGAAATAAACTGTTTTAGTAAGAGATTCAAGGAAGTTGCGTCTCTATACTTCACTCCTGAGGCTGTTGACAGATTCTTAAAAGTGGACCTGTGTAGGCAGAGGATATCAAATGCCACAGGGATCCAGAGTATAATAAGCGAAATGACATTTAGATTGAGGCTGAAAAAAACCCCTAAATCTATATATAAAAAAGGCATTATTTAGAGAGGGAAAAGGGTTGTTAGTAGTATTACAGGATGTAGTTGATGAGTTGTTTCCTGAAACTTGAAATTCAAGACTGGATGGATCTTGTGTGTACTGTAGCTGCTCTTAATGCTTGAATCATGACTGCTTCTCCTGTGGTCTGCGCTATGCAGAAAGTCAGACTTCTAGATGACCGTAGTATCCTCTTTAAATCTTTTGATTAACAAAATTGATGGTAGCGAAGCGAAGCAGCTTCCTGATGGTGCCAGGAAGCTGTGGACAGGTTTGCTTGAATGTATGTTATCAGTTGTTTAGATGTCTCTCTTGGATAGTCCTTTGGTCAAGCTGTAGTAGTTTTTAGAATGGCCAGCAGACCTGCGTTTCTGCATCATAAATTGTCTGTGATCTTTGTTTCGAAAGAAACAAGTGGCGTACCTCTAAAGTTTCCACTTGCTAATTGTTCAATTGCATTTTGTTGTTCGCTGCTATAAAAGTGGCTAGTGCCTTGTATAACGTTCTTTATCGTCTCGCTGGGCAAGCTTCTTTCCAGTTCTTGTTGGAAACTTCTTACAAGACAGTGCTCTGTGAATTTGAGCCAATGTAGTAGTGATGGCATCTTAAGCAAAAGCTTTTGGGACATAAAGTGCAAAGACTTTTTCCCTCTCAGGTGGATTTTGTTTTTTCTTTCAGGTGTCCTGAAAAATGGCCGATGATATTGATATTGAAGCAATGCTTGAAGCTCCTTATAAGAAGGTGAGAAAAACGCGCCAGTGAGGTCCTGTTTACCTTAATTTAGCATTATTCATGAAACTACTGCTGAACTGTAAACTAACATCCCTGGAGCCCTCATGATTTATCTTTTGGAGATGCATTACATGTAACTTGCAAGTAAATATGTGCTGTTAATGTAATTATATTGTGCAGTAGTTTCACTTCAGCGTGATGAATAAATGCCCATCTATCTCTCTTTGTAGACTTGCCTAACGATATCTCACCTCTACTCCCATGAATTCACCTTTGATTCCAGTGTGAACTGTCAATCATAAGGTAGTAATTGAGTGACGTATCGCTGTACCGTGGTCCCTTAGGTAAAAAAAAAAAAAAAAAAACACAAAAGAAAAGAAAGCCCCCAAAACAAAAGCAAGCAAAAAAGAAAAAAAAAAAAAAAAAAAAACCCCCAAAAAAAAAGCAAGCAAAAAAGAAAAAAAAAAAAAAAAAAAAACCCCCAAAAAAAAAGCAAGCAAAAAAGAAAAAAAAAAAAAAAAAAAAACCCCCAAAAAAAAAGCAAGCAAAAAAGAAAAAAAAAAAAAAAAAAAAACCCCAAAAAAAAAAGCAAGAAAAAAAGAAAAAAAAAAGAAAAAAACAAGAAAGAAACAAAAGCCTCTCCTAAAATTGCCAGGTCCAGTTTGGTATAGCAACAAGGTGAATGCAGTGGTTTGGGAAAATAGCAGGGTTCCAAGAATAACCTTTTCACCAGTCCCACGGCAAGTAAATATTTGAACAGTCTGCTCTGCGCAAGAGGAGCGAGACTTGCTTTTAACGCAGAAGACTGGTGATGGTTAATCTTTTAACGGAGCAGGTGGAAATCAATTGCTGAGTGAACAAATTTACCTAAATTCTTGGATCCCTGAATAGAACGCTCATAGCAAGTAAAAGACAGTATCACAGTCTGCGGTATCGTTCTAAAAAAAACCTCTTCTGTTCTTCTGTCCTAGTTGTTCAATTAGGAAATGCCAATTTTGATTCAAAATTTTGATTGATTAGTGTAGTGGTGTAAGTCTTTTTACCTAAACCAGCAGCAAATGAATACTGTCTTTTTTGTTTTTCACCACATGGTGGTGAAGTGTTAACGTTATGCATGCATTAGCACTGGTTTCTCAAGAAATGTATATAAAGCTTAAGTCATTTAGGAGTTGTACTTTTTATGTAACTGATGTGATTAAATTGTAAAGCAAGTATATAAATTATATGGCAGCTATTGTTAGTCTGTGCTGCAGTGTTTATTGCAACCGTGTCATGAATTTTGGATGAGCATTTGTAAGTTATACAAGTGTGTATTTAGTTTTATGTAATATTTAGCAGTTATATAAAAACTTGAAGAGAAAGATGTAAATTGTTATGTTAAAATTCTTGTATCCTGGTTTAACATGGATATTTTCCATGTAAACAGGTATGGAAATAGGGAATGTTTAGGCTGGACTGGTGGATTATTGATGACTTTCTTGGGAGTCGACGTTACTAAAGCAGTGTGAATCCCTGTTTGCTTCAGGGCGAGATGTGTGACAGAGGTGGCATCAAGCTCTTACAACTCTCCAACGAAAATGAGCGAAGATCTCGGGAATGGCATCGGTCACAGGAAATGGATAGTGGCTGGCTGCTAGCATAGCCACTGGGGCTTAGGCAGAAATATAGCCTTGGTACTGATCAGAGGGGCACACAAACCTGAAACTTCCTCTTACATTTTATAGAAATAACATTTAACCACTTGAGTGCTGAATTCTACAGGATAACTTACTCTCTAAACCATGTAAGGAAGTATCTACAGTTAATATACACTTTTAAATGATGTAATTATTGTATTTTATAATTGTTTGACTTAAATTTAAGCAGCAAAGTGGTTAAACATGCCTACCTAAATTTTTTCTAAAGCTTTCCACATTAAACTGTAAACAAGTAATTTAGTATTAAAATTTTTGTTTTGTATTTTCTTATTCCTATTCCCATTACCCTTTGACCACTTGAAATGTTTCCGCTTCGTCCTCACGATGTTCTTCTATCAACCCTGCTTAGGATGAGAACAAATTGAGCAGTGCCAATGGCCATGAAGAACGCAGCAAGAAGTAAGTATTTTCTTTATATCTTACACAGGGTGGGGGAAGTGCTGTTTTTAAACTATCTAGTGCATGTCAAAAGTATCCAAGGAAATAAAATGGAAAAGCTTGAACTTTACAGTTGCAGGAGTTCTGAAATCTTCTCTTGTTTACAAGCATAGTTACCCCATTGTCACTGATGTCATCAGAGTTGTGGAAACATTTAATTTCTTAGCATCAGATAAAAATACAAACTTGGTAGGTCCACCATGATTCATCTTTTTTTTTTTTCTTTTTTTAAACCATGCAATGGATTTAACATTAGAAGACTTATTTGGTTTGCAATTTTTATTTAATCCAGAACTGTTTAAAGAATTTAAAGATACCATTGATACCGTTGAAAAGGTTTATGTTGTTGGAACCTCCTGCCTCCTTTAAAAAAAAAAAAAAAAAAGCCTTGTGACTGTTTCTGCACTAATTGGTGCATTGAATTTCAAAGACAGATGCAAGAAGTTAGGCTATCTCTTATCTATTATCTGGCTCATTCTCAATTGAATTCAGTATTTTAGTCCTTTATACGCTACTCTGCATAACAGCTTCTGCTTTATATAAGTTTTCTCTGTTGGTAAGCCAAAATATATAGAATTATTGTAAAACCTTTTAAAATAATTGGATTATAAGCACACCACCTTCATGAGGCCTTGTTGAAGCGTGCTGTTCTTCTGTGGTCACTAAGTTAATTTCAGGGTCTGAATACCTGCTGATAACCCAAACAGGCAGGAATTGAATCAGAAGTTTAAATAAACCTTCCTTTTATGAAACAGTCTTAAAATACCCCAAAGGAATGGGAAGTTTTAATTCTGTAAAATAACTTCCTTATCTTGTGAGTATCATTTGTTGGTGAAGGGACAACTGATGTAGGAAGAAATTCTGAATTTGGTAGTCAAGTAAACAGCAAGCAGCGTGTCCTCACAACGTACTGTTAAGTTCAGAAGACAGCATGTATGTTGTCGTCAGAAGAAATCACATAGGTGAAAAGCCAATGGAATCCTAAGATCATTTCTTTCTAGTTGTATAAATATATGGGAAATGAGAAATTTAATCCAGGCATCAGACTTCAGCTGGAATTTAAAAATCTAAACTTGATTATAAGTTAGATTTGCATTCTGAAGAACTGTGATCGCTTCCCTAGCGCAATAAATCCGGGCTCCCCCCCGCCCCCTCCCCCCCACCCCCAAAATAGCATCTCCTAGCGTTTAAGTTCTGAGTTTTTATCAATTCAAAAAATATACTTGACATGTAAAAATCATACATCTGTTTGAATAGCTAGTCACAAATACAAACTGTGATATGAAAGAGAAGTTAATGTTTTCTTAACTTTCAGAAATGGTTCTGAGCTTGGTTCATGGTAGAATGCTTAGAGTATTAGAATGCTTTCTGGCTTGTTTTCTGAATTGCTATAGCCTAAGACCGAGGAGATTGCTTCTGTTAAGTAGGAGAATGATTTTTCACGTAGTTATCTTTCTGCTCACAATCCCAATTTCGGGTTGGAGTTTATTTTTTCTGAGTTTTTTTTTTTAATTTGGAAAGTAAATGAAATTCGGAAAAAGGATACGTTATTGTAAAATAGAAGAAAATCAAGGTGTTCTGTTCCTCTTTGTTTAGCGATGTTACTAGTTGTGTGTGGAGTCGTTTTCTTTTCTGCTTTCCTGATAGTACCCCTGTGTATATGTTCTGAGAAGTTGCTCCTGTGGTGTCTCCTCATTTCAGTTTTGGAGTCAGTAACTGCTAAAAAGTTAGTTATTCCCATACTGAGTGAAACATGTAGCTTTGTGTCCCAGAATTTTGATTTGATATGGCTGTTGCTCATAGAAATCTTTAAAGAACTACACCGTTTTGTACGTGGCTACTGACAGAATACACTCTGCTGCAGATTAAGGTACATACAGGCTTTGCAAGACTTTTGCTTTTTCTCATTAGTTAAATGTTTGTAGCGGCAGCATCAAGAAGATACTCTTTGATCTACTTCAGTTGGAGAATGCTGGAGTAAGATTTAAACTTTCAGAAAATTGATAATTCATAGTAAACATCAACTAAAAATATTAAGTTCAACTTGTAACTTTTAGTAATAAATGTCAATAATGCTAAATTTCTGTCTTGGGGAAATTAGAAGGGATTAAAGGGATAAAGAATCTGTACAGTTTTACTGGATACCTTACAGTTCTGTTCAGTTTAATCACAGAATGATTTAGGTTGGAAGGGACCTCTGGAGATCACCTAGTCCAACCTCCCTGCTCAAGCAGGGACCTCTAGAGCATATTGCCCAGGATCACATCCGGACGGGTTTTGAATATCTCCACGGAAGGAGACTCCACCACCTCTCTGGGCAACCTGTTCCAATGCTCTGTCACCCTCACAGTGAAGAAGTTTTTCCTCCTGTTCAGATGGAACTTCCTGTGGTTCAGTTTGTGCCCATTGCCTCTTGTCCTGTCACTGGGCACCACGGAGAAGAGTCTGGCCCCATCCTCTTGACACCCTCCCTTCAGATACTTGTACACAGTGATGAGATCACCTCTCAGTCTTCTCTTCTCCAGGCTCAACAGGCCCAGCTCTCTCAGCCTTTCCTCCTAGGAGAGGTGCTCCAGTCCCCTCATCATCTTTGTAGCCCTCTGCTGGACTCTCTCCAGTAGTGCCATGTCTCTCCTGTACTGTTCCAATCATGATTGGAAGACCAATTTAAATGAAACACAAATATCTTTGTGGATAATGACTGGTAGGCGTCTTTTTGCCTACAAAGAAGGTGCAGCTGATAGCTGGATATCTGATAATGTTGATGTGTAGCTGTAACTATTGCTTACTGGTACTGACCAGGACGTTAAGCTACAGAATGAACTACTTTTTTTTTTTTTTTTTTTGGAGCCGTTATGGTATTTAAGAGTGGAGGACTGAGCGTTTTAACTTGAGCAAGAACTTGGTAACGGATGTCCTGTGAGAGACGATGTTTGCCTTGCACTCTGTCACTAATTACCTTACAGTAGAAAGTGTAGTTAAGCAATTTTGATGCAGATCATTCTGGATATCTAGATGGTGTCCTCTTGTTGTATGTGAAGCTTTTTGAAGATGGTTTTGATGCAGCAGTTCCTCTGTCTGCACTAAAATATTAGAGAAATCTAATTGTAGATTAACAGTAATCAAGTCAAAATGGAATATTCAGCTGTTCTTTTACTGGCCAGTTTGGTATCTCTAATTTTTGTGATTTGGTCATGATTTGGTTTTGAAATGTTTCTCTTGAGAAATGAGTACTAGAATAGTTGTCATGAGGCTTCTTAGGTGGAGACTGGAGAACAAATGCTGCTGGTGATGATTGGGCTCAGTTATATGTGGTAGCTGAGAGATTTTTTTACTATAGTAATTGAAACTAAGTATAAACCTTATTTTAGATGGTCATAGAAAATAGCTGGGATGAACTTTCTTCTGAAGAAAATAAACTTGTAAAGATTTCTAATTTTAAGTGTATGTAAGCAGAAAGCCTAAAGGGGATGGGGGAGGGGGGCGGAGAAGAAACTTACTAGCAAAGGATATTTCAAATGTCAAGAATGTAGCAAGAGGATATTTCTAAAATTTAGCTTGAGGTAAGCTTTGTCTTAGTAGTTGCTTCAGCCTCTGTTTAAAGTAGTGTGTGTATGTGCACTCACACGCACACATGCAGACAAAATTTATTAAAAAATTAGGAGACAGTACATTTCTTATATTCTAAGACAGAAATTGAACTAATCTTCGGGTAACTCAAAAGTTACTCTGCAAGAATGGGACAGTAACTCACTGGTTGTCAAATATGAGGCAGAATCGACTTACAGATTTTACATATTTAAATTTCCTAAGTAAATAGTTAAAGTTATGAAAGACTGCTGTTTGCTCCAAATCTGTGTGGCCCAGAAATGTGGAAAAGCAGGTGACTTATGAGTGAGAGTAGTAAATGGACATGTGAAGTGGAAGTAAAACTCTTAAGCTGAGTATGTTAAAACTCATGTCAGGGAATATCTGGAGAAAATAAACTTCCTTTCCCTCGTTGTCCCTCATCCTTCCTTTCTTTTTTTCTCTATTTTGTTTTACTTCACTATAAAAATGTAAAGTTAATATTGGCATCTTCGTTGCCTATTTACAATACATTTGAAAGACACTTGAAATACTGCAATTAGTATGTGCTAGTTGTAATGCAGGAAACGTTTACTGCTCCTGGAAGCATGGTTTAATGGTTACCAAAAAAAAAAACCATTCAGCACTTCGGAGCGCTTTATCTTTCTCATGATAAATTTTAAGAGATTTCTGAATTGCTCAACCATCTCTTTAACAGAAAAGAGTTATAAAAATACCGGTGGTTACATACTAACAGTTATACAAATACAACATTTCAATACTAAGGTCAGTGACCTTGGGTTAGAGGAACTAGGGAAAGCTAGTAAATAACGGGATTGATAACACTGAACAACAAGTGTAATCAAAGTTATATTTTTGCTTCTCAGGAGAAAAAAGAGCAAGAGCAGAAGTCGAAGTCATGATAGGAAGAGGAGCAGAAGCAAGGAACGCAAACGGAGTCGAGATCGTGAAAGGAAGAAGAGCAGAAGCCGGGAAAGGAAACGGAGCAGAAGCAAAGAACGCAGACGCAGTCGTTCTAGAAGTAGAGATCGCAGATTCAGAGGCCGCTATAGAAGTCCCTAGTAGGTTATTTATGTAGAGTTGCATTTGGACCATTTCCGTGTATGATGTGAAAGCTTAAACTTTAACTATGTGCTTTCTAAATTGGTCACTTTCGTCACCTCAAAAAGGAGGTCGGGGGTTAAGGTTGAAGAGAGCGTCAATAAATGTGGAGTGAGAATTAGGAAGTAAGATGCATGTCTCTTGCTGCTTTTGTTTCTGACTTCAGATAAGAAGGAAAAATAAGTGAGAGCAAAGCGTCCAACTGACTGGAAGATAAACATGAAATCAGAAGTTTGTTGTAGAATTAAAATGTTGAGCAGGTATTCTAAATATCGTAATTACCTTCAGCAGATGAACATGAAGGTTTAACTGTTGGGGGGGAAAAAAAAAAAAGAGTAGTCTGTGATTTGGGTCGCAGGCTCATAACTCACCTTTTGCTTGTTATCTAAGCGCATGGAAAAATAGAGGGTTTCTGTTGTGTCCGAGTTATACTTACTATTTAAATTGTGAACTTGTACTGCTATGCAGCAGTGACTTGATTACGTTTTCCAATTTAACACAAGAAAAATAACTAATGAGGTTGGTGTTTTTCTTCCTAGTCAGATGTGTTTTTACTGGCCTGCTGCTCATATGCATGTTTGCTATAGTGCTGCAGGGGTTTTATGCACTCAGAATGCTTTTTCTTAATAACACCCACCTGTTACATATTTGCCCTGCTTTTTCTTGGGATTGTTTAGAGGCCGTAGAAGATGGTGCACCCCAGCTCTTCAGTTCCTCTATTTTTTGGCTTGAGATAGAACTTCTGCTGCAGGTTGTTCCTTACAGTTGTAAAGCACTTCTCAAAGTCTATTTTTTCGTTGGTGATATTTGTGCTAGGATTCTCCTGGAGGATTTTTATTTTGCCCTTCCCTCATCTCCTTTTGCTTTCAAAGAAGCAGAAAAACAGAACTGGCTGCATTACATGGCTTTCACTGGTTACCTGAGGCTGCTGCTTGTGTCGTCTTTTGCCTGGGTCTCATCTCGGCTGTTGTCGAATTTCAGAATGCAAGATCATGTCAGAAGTGGGCACTTGAAAAGGATGTTTTTTTTGATTCACGGCACATATTGTCATCCACACCTAAGAGATCTCTTAAGGTGATTGAGAAGATGCTGTTTCACTTCTGATGTTCTGCAGGCATATGCAGCTTCAGCAAAGTGGATGTTTCCCTAGGTGGTTGGGTCCGGATCCAGGGAGCACGTTCCTTCTGGTGCTCTTGCAATGGATACAAAATGCCTGAGCCCGCAGGGTCTCATTTTGCACTAAGTCACCTAGAAGTTGGTTTTTCTCATACTGAAACTGTACAACGCCAGGCGTCCTGTGGCTCAGAATCCTCAGTCCAGCTTTTTCTGACCTGCAGCAATTGTTCTATGTGATGCTCCTCATTTTACTGAGGTAGGAGAAGATTTTGGAACAAACGGATTTGGCATTTGCTCTGCTTTCCTCAGTTGTGTGTACTTGGAGACCATAGAGCGTATAATCTCTGTCTTGCTTTGTCTCCAGTATCGGACCTCGTGCAACCTTTAGAACTGCTCTGGGCTTTAGCTCTGAAGACGTTTGCAGCTTTGGACAGTTGGTTTATTTTCCACAGTTCTTTGGCTCCAGTAACATTACAGGAACGATGTAGGATGTGCCAGTGCAGCCCTTCTGGCTCCAAACCGCATATTAAACAGAGGACCCTTGATCAAAATCTTCAGCCTTCCAGAAGTGGAGCCTGCCAGTCCTCTGTACTCCACGTCATGTTGTCACTAGGATAGGATATCCATCATCTCTCAGATTACTTAACTAGGAGAGTGCAGTGACTCCAAGCCACTGGTGTAGCTGGTGCTGGTCACTTGTTTGTTCCCTTCATCCCTTGGTGAGCCAGTAGATTCCTCACCTGGAGAAACTGGGAGCTGGTCTTCCATAAGACCATATTCTGGTCTTCCAAAACATTTTGCTCAGGCAGAGGTTGAAAATATTGGAAATTATCTCAACCCATGCCTAATGTAATGGATCAAGGTGTGTTGTGCCAGGAGGGTAGGCGATTGCTTGGGGATGTCTTTGTTGTTCTGATATTCTTCCACAGTTGTAGGTTTCTGTAGTGCTGGAGACAGCTAACAGTATAACAATAAAGGTCAGATGTTCTAGTGTCGCTTAGGGTTGGGTAAGAAGCTGTGCTTTTTGGTTTGGCAGTGTTGTGTTGTCTACTTCAGGTGCTGAGTTGCTGGATTTGGCTAGCCAAATAGAATTTTAGCGTTAACATTAGTTAGTTTAGTGAAAGACTGGTATGGGGTTCTTAACTATCTTCCTCCCAGAGGCATTGGCACTGGCTGTTGGCTGTAGTTCATTTGTAGGTTGTGGAAGATCTAGCTGGTGGGTGACATCTCTAATCCTACCAAGCGTTTTGTGTTTGAAATGATTGAAATTGGACTGTTGAAGTGATAAAAATGCGAAGATGACTCCCAAGATTGAAGTTTTGGCCCAGGAGATACAAAAAGAGAAGGACCTCCTACTGGGAAAGAAGAGAGCTAGCTAGCTCAAAGGTGAGCCTGTGTGTACTGAAGAGCTGTATAGCAGACGTCCCTTGTGGGGAGCAAGTCTTTCGTTCTGGAGATGAAGTCTTTTGCTTCACCAGCCTCCTTTTCTCAGATACCTTTGGATATACCAAAAACGGTGCTTCCATATGGAGAAGCAGCCACTGTTGGCGGCTTTGTCGTTTCTGTATTTCATAGGTAACAAGCAGAATGCTTGATAGGATTAAGAGATGTCACCTGCCAGCTGGAGAATTTGCGTCTGGAGTCTTACCCTTGGGCCTGTTCAGACAGTTCAGAATTGGTGTTACTATAGGTAGTGGTGTTGTAGGTGACTACATCGTCCAGATCAAAGTGCTTTGTGTGTTGTGTGTATGTGTCGGGGGGGAGGGGGAGGTCTCCTGCCCCCCTTTACTCCTTACCTTTCACAGTTGTTTTATAAAGCCCCCTTTTAAGATATTTTCTTTAAACTGTGAGGTCTTTTTTGTCACGGGGATCGTGCAGAAGTCTCTCCCCAAGACTGGGGAAAGGAAGTGCACTGAAGATAATTCTGAAAGAAAAGGAGAATGGTGCACTGTGTAGAACTTGAGGAAGTTTGAATCGGTCATCTGTAAACGTAAGATATTGGAATTAAATATTGCAGTTCCTTTTCTTGTATTACTCGCTGTTCACTTTTTCTTTCATGTTCTTCTTTTTCACATATTTTGACTCTTAGGTGTTTTACAGTTATTTTATCAGGCCTCTTGAGAAGAAGAAAACTTTACCAAGTATTCTTGCTTAGACATCTGGCTGACAAAAGTCAGCTGCTCCTTACAGTAGAAGATGTTTAGACTGTTCTGTTGCTCTTCCGGAGCCAAAAATTTAGGCAAATGCTGCCAGGAAAACCAACTCCATACATGAGGACTGAAAATTCATCATGATTCTCCTAGACTTTGTTGGCCAAGGCTTGCCTTGTCTGAGAGGCATGTTAGACTCTTGGGATATGACTGAGGTGGTGAAGACCTTTTTTTTTTTTTTTTTTTTTTAAATAAACAGCTATCTTCTGACCCGATTATCATCATCTTGGGCCATGTGGTATCACATAAGTTTAGAAAATAGATTAGCTATGCTTTGGTTATGCGCGCAGGCTAGTGCATCTGGCTTATCTGAAGAAAGTAACCCCAGTATTGCTCGTGAATCAGTGCTTTCATACATGGTAGCAGGAACCAGCCAACAACTGCAAAGAGTTCTCAGAAAGGCAGTAGGAAGAAAGAAGAGGAATAGGAAAAAAGAAAATTCCACTGAAGTCTACAGCTTTACAAGAGAGTCTCCTCAGAAAAATCCAAAGGATATGCATGCCACAGAATAGTGCAAAAAGAACTTCAAAAGATTGCTCAGACCACCTGTCTTGCCCCAGGAAGCTTTGGAGGCCTCTCTGCTCAGTCTATTCCAGTGGTCTACTCTGCCTGTAATTTGTTGGAGTTTTAAAATGTTAATGTTCCTCCCATGCTGTCATGTAAATCTATTATTACTTGTTTATCTAGAGTAAAAAAGGGAAGCAGTTTTTGGGGGATTCTTTTTTTTTTACAGAAGCCATAAATATTTGAAAACTACTGCTGTGCATCTTCTCTTTTTTTTTTCATTAGACTTAAGACAAAAAAGACAACTTTTTCCTTTCCTTCTTTCACTAGTCCCTAAAAAGCCATGCATGTGATCCTCGACTGTTAGTTACTTGGTCTGCATTGATATTCTGATGTTTAGAGTCACTTTATGTAGTTTATTGTGCAGCATCCAAATTGATATGGACAGCACTATCTTGTGCATCAGCAGGTGTGAAGGTACAAGGTAATCCAATCTCTGATTGGAAGAAGCCAGTCTCTGGAACGAAGTGATACAGTCTGATCTACCACAAAATACAAAGAACTGCAAAAACTACCAACAACATATAAAGCTATTAAATAATGATCTGATTGAAAAGAATATAAATGAAGCCTTTAAGTAGGTCTTTTCTATGTGCGTGCTATTGCTCATTAAAGCAAAAAAATACGTAAAAAGGCCATTGGTAATTGCTTTGTTAACCACTGCAGAAAATACCAATGCTCTGGTGACAGATGCCACTAGTTTAGCACCTAAGGTCTCTGTAGTGTGTTTTTCCAGCAGTTATTTAAAAAAATGTTATTTCCTGATCTAGAATGATCTCAGCTCAAACATGCTACTGCCTAATATGGGCCTGTTTTTTGGGGGGGGGGTAGCAAATTATGCCTTATTTTCTGTTAATAAATTGTTTAAATGGTCTGATTTCCCTTCCCCTGGCCAGGGCCCTCCACCTGTATCCTGCAGGGTTGTATTTCCCTTTATTTCAGCCTGACCAGCACAGTTTTGGATCTTGGCCCGATACTTTCATGCGTTATGGTGTCATGTTAAAAGAGCATCTTCCTTCTCAATGTGCATTCTGAGTTGACTGTAAGCATTGCTGCTTCCCCCAGGAGTGAAGTCTCCAGAACACTTCCTTGCAGGCATCTGCAGGGAGCTCCTTGGGGTTCCCTTTGCACCTTAAATCTCATGAAACTTTCAGTTTAAGGGTGCTGTTTAATTTGTGCTGAAGCAAATAGTTGTGCCATCAGAGAGTTGCTTGGTGCTCTGAGGCTGACTTCAGAGAGTGAAGGCACTGCTTTGGCGTCATCAGCAGAATATGCACGTGGACAAGTATATGAAGGAGAAAAGATTACAACAGTAACTGAAGTTTAAAATATTTTGCACGTAAGTGTGCCATATCTGGCCCATTCAGTTCTTCCTTGAAGTCCTCTGTATTCTGGGATTTTTGCAGTGCAGATGAAACTGAGCAGGGAAAATATTCCATGCCTGATAGTTTGGAGAATAGCATGTAATTTACGCATGCTACAGGTACTGCTCATAGAAGAGAGCTCAAGTGTGTAGGGTGGGGGAGCACCTTCAATGCAATGTGAATTTAGACAGGAGATCCTGAATCCAGGTACTCTGGCAAGTAACGTCTGTTTTTTTTTTTTTTTTTTTTTTTGCTTTTGCCGCAGTTCTGGTCCAAAATTCAACAGTGCCATCAGAGGGAAGATTGGTCTGCCTCACAGCATCAAATTAAGGTTTCTGAGTTTTCTCTACTTTTTTTTGCATCATTAATAGGCTTTGTTTAAAATCAGATCAGTATATCTGAAGATTTTTGATAATCTTGTTATCTTTATCTTCACAGCAGACGACGCTCCAGAAGCAAAAGTCCCTTCAGAAAAGACAAGAGCCCTGTTAGGTAGCGATTTTTATACATTACTTTTTTTTTTTTTAACTTGAAGTTTTTAAAAAACAAAAAAAAAACACAAAAACTTCTCACGGTCCGGCTTACACTGCAAGAAACTTAAAAATTCCTCATTCAGAAAGCTCATGGAACAAAAGCGTTGAAAATACCCTAGTGCTTTTTCCCCCATGCAATAAACCGTTCCCTCCCTGCTCCCAAAATTAACAATGTACACTTTTAACTCACATCAATTTGCAAGGCATATCTTGCTTTGCTTTTTTCATGTTTCTGTACTCTCAAGCTTTTTCCAGTTGATTCTAATTTAAATTGGCTAGCTTCTCTGCTAAATCTTATTAATCTTAAATACAGAATGGTAAAGTACTGTGCAAATGCTTGCTTTTTCTCTTCAGTATGTGTTGATATTCTTTGTAGAGAAGCCATGTAGCTTTTAAATTCCGGAAGTGCTTATCCGTTCCCATTCTTAAGGCTTATCAATTAAGGAAATTGCATTCAGATAACTGCTAATGGGATGATTCTCTAAATTAATACAGTTAAACTTCAGCAGTCTTACTTTGTTTTTATTAGCAAATACTTACTGAGATACTTTAGTTTACATTATTGTTCTGTATTCTCAATGATATTTTTTTAATATACATGAAGTATAAAGAAATACATTACTGAAAACTCAGTCCAGGATTGAAATTTGGGTTAATTGCACAGGTATCAATTGCTCATGCACCAGGCTATTTCTATCTTACTTTTTTTTAATTCTGAAGACAATTAGATTCTTTAGATTTGAAGCTTTAACTTGTAAAAAGTAGATCATCTCATTTTAGCCGGTGACCAATATCAAAAGAAAAGTACATTACTGCTTCTGGAATCAGAGACTAGAATACTTATTCAGTATTCAGTTCTATTCACTTATTTGCTTTTAAGTGTACTAGTGGGTGCCAATGGATAGTTTATTAGAAGTCTCCTAGGGTTAAGCTTAAACTACAAAATTATATGAGGACTAGGAATTCTGTTTGTACAGGTGTTGATATTGTTTCTTGTGGTAGCTGAAGTGACTGTGAAGTGACCAGGTATGCACCAGACTTTAGTTTGCAAAGCTGGGGAAAAAAGGTTGATATTCTTTGCCCAAGAGTTTATAGACAGCTAGTCTATTCTAATTAGTCTTGTTCTTTTCTTTTGTTCCTATCCTCTCATCTTGTCTGTTTGACTGCAGGCTCCTTGGAATGGTACTGTTATTTCTTCTAGATAGTGACAAAGTAACACCTTTGTATAGTTGGGGCTTCTGAACTTAAAGGATAATTTTCCAGTGATGTTTAATGCTTACAGTTCAAATTGAATTAATCATGTTAAAGAAAAGTTTGTATTAGGTATTCCCCTTAATTCTTGACCCCTGCTTTATTTTAATATTGCAGTTGTTTTTTCCATGTCTAGTTCTAAAGTACAAACATTTGAAGTATGTGTGGTACTATGATGAGGTCTCTTATTCAGTTTTCCTCTTACGTTCCAGAGAACCTATTGATAATCTTACCCCTGAAGAGAGGGATGCTCGAACAGTGTTCTGCATGCAGCTGGCTGCGAGAATTCGACCAAGAGACCTGGAAGAATTTTTCTCTACAGTAGGGAAGGTAATTAACAGAGGGTTACTGTGATTCTGAATACTTTCTCAAGCTATCCTAGGCGAGGATTGCTGTTCTGTAGAACTGAACAGGTGACTTTTTTTTTGGGGGGGGGGGGGGGGGGGCTTCTTGTACAGGGAAAAGGTTGGGTAAAAAACTGAGCCTCTGAACATAGAAATGCAATTAATCAGCAGTTTATTGTTCAGAGTGCAATCTGATGCAGATCATGGTCATGCAGTTTTGAGTCAAACAGCTTCAATTTTAAAAGTTTCAGTCTTTCTCAGATAGCTGAGCAGTTTAAAATACAATTGCACAGTTGAGTTCTGAGATGCTTCCTGTTGTATCAGCTCTAGGGTTCCTGCTTAAAGCATTGAGATGCTGCAAGTATTGTAGCACTCCTGTTCCTGTAGCATACTGTGTTTGATTTTGAGACAGAATAATGCCATCTTGCCTCTGGGATGTTTAAGAAGGTAATTTGATGCTAGTCTAGATTTCCAACGTAATTATAAAGCCATTGGCTTTGCAAGTAAGTATCTGGCTTATTAATGTCTTTCTGAGAATTGAATTCCATTTGCTTTTTTCCTAGTGTAACCCTCTCTATAAACATAGCACTTCCATTCTTGTCTTTCAGGTTCGTGATGTGCGAATGATTTCTGATAGAAATTCCAGGCGTTCAAAGGGAATTGCTTATGTAGAATTTGTTGATGTTAGTTCAGTGCCTCTGGCAATAGGACTAACCGGACAGAGAGTCTTGGGTGTACCAATCATAGTGCAAGCATCACAGGTAAGTAGTTTTAAACTTTCTTTTAATCTTATTGAATAGTGCCTGAAATGAGCTAAAGGCTGGAAACTCAGAGGCAGGGACATCATCCTTTTTTCATCTTAATGAAAATTTTAAGTATAAAATGAGCTTTAGAGAACGGTGTAATTAGCAAAATAGTTATCTTTGTCTGCTGGTCAGATCTTTAAAGGAAGAGTTAAATAATAGTCATAACATTCATAGACGAGTGCTAGAATAAAAGATGGAAGTTTTTTGTGAATGCTGACCTTTATTAAAACTTGTTACTTAAACTTGAGAATCTTAGGAGATTTTGCTTTAAAAATAATGATCTCCACCGGGGTGGTTTTTAAACATTTCAGTGCCATTGTGATTTTTTTCCACTTTCAATTTTTTTTTCCTGTTTTCTTTGCTGAAAGTTTAGTGTTTGAGAATTTGGTTCTCATTGAACATTTAAGATAATCATAATTGAACCTTTACTTCCAAAAGTTGACAGGCAAATTGCAGCAAATCGCAGTGATTGATTCCTTTTGAAAATACTGATGTTAAGAAAGTAGTAGTAACAAAGCTATAATAGCATTACAAAACTGTACTCTGAAATTATGCATGCTTTCCAGCATATGTAAAAAGCAAAGTGGTGTTTTACTAGATAAAGCCAGAATTCTGCATGAAGTTCTTCAGTTTAGCGACACGTCTTCCAAAAGTCTTCGTACTTAGTCACGATCTTGGATTTCATACTGTTTAAGTTAGATGGGCAATGTGCAGATTATTAAACGACATGTATTTTTTACAGTTACATTCTTTTTATTGAATTCTGACAGAAAGTGGGGGGATTTGTTTTGTTTTCAGGCAGAGAAAAACAGAGCAGCAGCAATGGCAAATAATCTGCAGAAGGGCAGTGCTGGTCCTATGAGGCTGTATGTAGGATCATTACACTTCAACATAACTGAAGATATGCTTCGTGGAATCTTTGAGCCATTTGGCAGGGTAAGTTTTGACTAAGCAAAGTCAATGTGTTGCAGTAGTTTTGATTATCTGAAAAACCTATGTTAGCTTCTCAAATGGCTTCTTGAAATAATTAAGCTTCATGCCTGCAATCCAGTCTCCTATTTCCATTCTTTTGTTACCTATACATCCACAAAGATATAGGTACTGAGTTACTATTTGAGAACAAATGAAAAAAACCTTGATTTGTGGTGTAGTCCAATTTTGAGTGGCAGGTCTTATGACAGAAAGATGAGAATTCGGCGGTCACCCTTAATTACCTACAGACTACGTTATATCCTGCTTTTATGTCTTGTTTACTTGCCGGAACAGCTCTGCATTGCCTTGGTACACTTAATACACTGCTTAAGAATATATTTTTTTTTTCCCTTGACCAAGTGCTGCTACTTATTTATTTATTTATTTTTTAAATCATCTTTGGATATTAACCCTTCATACATAATGTAAGCATACTTTTCAGATACTTTATTCAGAGGTTTGGTATGCATCTCTAATCCTGTTGTACAAAAGCCTGGGAAATTGCGGTTTATTACCTACTAATCTACATGGCCCATTTTGTTTTGTTTCTTTCCCTGCCCCCCTCTGGCAGTAGAACTAATGTAGATTATGAGGCTTATGTACAGAAATATGAAAATTCTTTCTTCATTCCATATTTCCCAATCTATTCTTAAAACCTCTTCTCCCCTTCCCCCACCCCCCATTTTTGTGTTGCTTTCTCTTTCCAGTGCTATTTCACAGGTCATGGATGACTCACTAATATTTATTTATTTTTTAATTCGGTAACTAAACCTTTAGGAGTTCCCATATAGCAATAGACAACTGTATTATTTAAAGTGTGCAGCTTTTTCTTAATGGCCTCACCTAGCTGCTTTTGTTACCCCAAAAAATGGAGTTTCTCAGCATATGAAATACCATACCTATGTTATTTCAGTTGAGACTCGATGGTGCCTGTGCGCTAATTGTCTGCTAGAATGCCTCATGAGGACCAGGCCTCTCTGCCTGTGACTGCAGACACCTTATAAAGGATAAATTGGACATCTCCCTTATATTTACTCATTACTGCTTTAGTTTTAAAATAAAGATCACATTGCCTGTACACTAATCTGGACTTGAGGAAAGATTGAGGAACTGCATTTAAACCCTTTTCCCCCCCCCCCCCCCACCCCTCTTTCATCTTTTATTTTGTTTTGATATGTTGTGGTTTGTTTCAAAGCATCTGATAATAGCCTTACTCTTATTTTTAGATTGAAAGCATCCAACTGATGATGGATAGTGAAACTGGACGTTCAAAAGGATATGGATTTATTACGGTATGATTGGAATTACCAGGATTCTTAGAATACTTTCAGCTGTAACCTTCTCTTATGGTAGCATAGTTAACTCAGCAAAACACAGTTAAGTCTCATCTTAGAAGTTTCATGTTACAGGGAACACAACAGTGGCCTCCTTCTCTCTCTTTCTGCCAGTTCTCTATGGGTATTCCGATTGAACAATTCCTATGTTTAGAATGGGAATGGCATACTTCTGTCCACCATTACGCTCACTGTCTGGTAAAGCGCTACTGTTTCTTCAGGCAAAAATACTAGTAAAAACTGGCTTTTTCAAAGTGCCCGGGAGATCTAATTGGAACTTCATTAGGGGAAATCGAATTCCAGAAGCTAAAACTTTGTTGGGAACATCTTTCCTTTTCTCTTTGCCATTACATATTTAGCTTTGTGAATTCAGGGGTCTTGAATGACATGGCAATTTGTGAAGAAAGAAATGTCTCAGGACCTCTGGCAGTTGGAGACAAATGGAGCCAAAATGACTGCAGGGCTGATGTTTGGTGGGTTTAGCATTGACAACACAGAAGTTTAACTTTGTTGTGCGACATGAAGCAGAACATCTGCTAGGAGCATCCACTGGAATCAGTAAAATTACAAAAGAAGTGAATCTCCTTCACATAAAGTATTGAAAGAGAATTGCAGCTATGACTTCTGTTAATTGAAATATCTAGGTTGATCTGCCTTCAACAGTCACGCATATTTCAATGTATTTCCCTCAAAATAGAAAAAGTAAATATTCAAAGTTGTGTAAGTTTGATAATGCACTGGTTCAAATGGAAGGTCACTGTGGATGTTACATATGACAGAAATGTTGTGGAATGCTGTGGACAGTATTATGAATGTATTTTTTCCATTCTACAGTTTTCAGACTCTGAGTGTGCCAAAAAGGCCTTGGAGCAACTCAATGGATTTGAGCTGGCTGGTAGGCCAATGAAAGTTGGACATGTAACTGAGCGCACTGATGCTTCCAGTGCTAGTTCATTTTTGGACAGCGATGAGTTGGAACGGACTGGAATTGACTTGGGAACAACTGGTCGCCTTCAGTTGATGGCAAGACTTGCAGAGGGTATGTACGATGATATATAGGAAAAGTGTGAAAACAAATCTACAAAATTTGGATTAACATGGTGCACAGGATATTATGCTAAATGCATTTTTAAGATCTTAACAACAATAAGATTTCTTGTATTTCTGTTCTTGGGTTCCTAACTGAGTGAAGAGTGCTTGCAACAAAGTATATTCGTATTTTCTGTTCTAGGTACTGGTTTGCAGATTCCCCCAGCTGCACAGCAGGCTCTGCAGATGAGTGGATCTTTGGCATTTGGAGCTGTGGCAGGTAAGAAATGATAACCTCTTTATTTTTCTAAAATTATGTTTATCATGCTTTATGACTTTGAGATAAGAAGTACTTAACTGCATTGTGTGACTTAAAGTGGGAACATAGATGCTACAGCATGTTTTACAAGTTGCAGAACTTCGCAAATCCATGAGTAACTTTGATGGACGTGATTCACTTTGCGTTACTTCTGGCAAATTTGTCGTAGTTCTCTGAATTCATCCCAGGCCTTCATCTCTGTATCTTTACTATTCCTGGTACTAGTGGGACTTTCAGGTTCTACTGCAGTGTAAATGTTGACTGTTAAAAATAGCAGGCTCATAACTGGAAGGGGTTTTACCCTCTGCAGAGTCCCTTCTGAAAAACTGGATCTGTACTAGGGCCAAGACGGTTAGTGGAGTTTTGCAGAGGATGTGGCAACCAGCACCACGTTACGTGAATGCTTTAGTGCCTTCCATGCAAACGTAATGGTATTGTGAATGTTATATGTCCTGGCCACGAAGAATAGCGTATGTCAGTGAATTTGTGTGTTGCTGGGGGTTGGCTGCAGTTTGCGTGCTCTGCAAATGGGCAAGGTAAAAGTTTTATTGAGATTTTTCTGAGAGACTGAGGGTACGATTGCTGCAGCTACTAGTTCACAGCTGAACCTAAGCAACGAACTGTTCAAAGCTAGGCAATGAGAGTAACTTCCCACAAGAGCCTGTGTGGGAATTGAGAGTGGGATTTTTCTGTTTTTTTGCTAGCTCAAGAACAAAGGGAAATTGTGGTAGCAGTAGAAAAGACTTGAAGGGTATCACAAGTAACTAATGCTAGAAGGTGTATTCTTTCTTGATTTCCTGACACTTCTTGCATACATCGTTTCTGTCTTCCAGCAGTTTGTGACAGAAACAATTCAGACTTACAATACACATGAATCATATTTTTGAAACGCAGATGCAGCATTGAGAAAAGCGCGCACGTAGAACTGTCTATACACAGTTGCTAAAAACATGTAATACTGTGTGCATCTCTATAAGGAGATTTACAGAAGGAAAAGGGAACTGGCTAGGTAAACGATGTGGGTTGAGGAGCAAGTGTTTGGAGAAGCAGTGGAGGAAAAGAAC